TGTGTGTGTGTGTGTGTGCAAAAAATACAACACAATTGTGTTGTAAACGCATTATTTATTCGAATTATATATGTATATGTATATATTTTAATTCCTTTACTCCAAAGATTTGCACCTATATGATAACTTATTCAAATGCTGTATTATAGATGTTGTGCGCTACATTTCGATATCACAGTCTTATTTATTGTTGTTACCATTAAGTGTTCATGATCTACGATATGTTATTTATGCAGTATTTGTACTAATATAATTAGTTTAATTATTAATTTATTACAAATTTATTCACAACCATGACTATACTCTTACTATATGAATCAGTGAACCAAGTCAGTGCTTGAATAAAAGTTAATCAAATTATCTTCGCATTTTGTTGAACAATATTAATGATAAGAATTTTGCTACATCACTTCGACAGTGAAGTAAGTGGATTTCCTTTGAGCGGATGCGGATTCCGGATTATCTACATGACCACAATAATGATTTACCGTCTAGCCTGCCTTATGCCCACTATCACGTGATCTGGCCGTCAAGATGGACGATTTAATCAAGACCATCCCTGACACCATGACTGTCTGAGCACATTAATTTAAGCAAATTAAATAGGACACGTCAGTTTTGAGTCAGCTGTACCGAGTGCAACAGAGTATAGTGATTGTCCCAATATAGGGAATAACCTACAGTATGTTGCGTCTACTCCTAGGCAGCTTTAGACTCTAAATAAAATGCATTTTTATTTATTTATTTCACCTTCCTGTCTTTTTATTTGTTGTATTTGAGAGGGCGAGACCAGTTAAAGTTAAGTAATCGTTAAAGTTTTCCCTCCTCGCGTGTTGCTAATATTAAGTCACTTATTAGACCGTCCGCAAAAACTACAGTGATGGCAGTAGAGAGATTAAGCGGTCTTTAGGGGAATAATGTTCCTTTTATTCCTTCGAAAGCGGTGTCTGGTGTGAGGAAAATGACGGCCTCTTTTAGAGAAAAGTGTGACGTCCGTTGATCAAAATTTAGGACAGAATAATTAAGCAAAACAAAACACTGTGAACGGGACTTCAGCGGGCCTGAACGGGACTTCAGCGGACCTGAACGGGACTCAGAAATCAACATGACATGGCTTATAGGACAATTTTAATTTCGCAATGTTGTTGGCGTATAGTATATCAGGGTAAATGTTTTCGGGTCAGTGATCGCTTTTGTTGTTGATGATGACTTTGAAATCCATCCAGTTTGTTTACAATAGAAATGACAAGATAAGTCCTGTCACGTGCACATTAGGTTATCATTGTAAAATTTTAATAACAGGTTAGCACCAGACAGTAACAAAATTACTGATTTCGTTTCGACAAGATTGGACACAAAAGAGCCATATATTGTTACAACAGATTTACATTGTAACTGCCGATCTCACTGTCCTTGAAAAACAAGCATAGATACTGCCTGAATATACAAACTTTTATTACGGTAGACCACCATAATGACACGTTCCGGGCCGTTTCCTATGCCATAGCTTCATACGTTTAAGCGGCAATCTGTCCCCTCAATTACCCGAAACAACTTTGAGCCTTTCACTGGAACGGCAATTATGGTACTTTAAACTAGGGCCCATAAGAATAGCGTTAGTTTGATGGACAATGTCTTTAAGCACACGTCCATGTATCTTTCTAATAGTCATTCCAATTACAAAAATGCAAGGCATCGTTTTTCACTTCATACAGTTGTAACTATCTTCAGCGTAGGTGTTTAATATTCGCTCAGATGTGCTGTGGTCCAATATACAAGTTTACACTCGGTGGATTTTAGCAAATGCTAAAATAATAACAAATGCAATTAATATTTTGATATGTATCCGTAATTAACGCATCCGGGCGCTAGCTATTAGCGTTAATATGATGCCACTCAACGACCAAATTGCTGCAGTAAGACTACTCACTATATCTGTGTAATACTGTAATATATGCTACTGGTATATAAACATATTTTGTATGTCTGCTGGTACGTCAACGTGAGCACTGAGTGATGAAGTATTAAAGAAAAAAAATATTGTCTCCAGTCACGCAGCCATATATATGGCACTGGGGGGTGCGGATGGTTATCTGTGGCTCAATGCATTCTACATGCATCTGCGCAATTTTCGGGCACCTGGAATGAGACCACGAATTACAATGAACAAAGACGTCAGACTCAGTGCATAGTGCATCTTTTAAGAAAGGCCTGTTGTGAGTGGTTGAGGGTGCAGATCCTGATGAGGTGTCGGCTGTCAGTTTGTCACGGAATTCACGGGTCAAGTTATTTACTACTGCCTTAAAGTCGCATCGAGAGATTAATTTCAGCGCCAACACCGGGAAAGACGCTTGATTTCAGCCTTACGTGCCACGCAAACCGAGGCAAGGGGAAACACCAAATGTCCCCACACACTGGAAGCTAAATATAGCCAGGCTATGACGCGCTGACCAAACCCATCTACTTTAAGACTCACTTGTTATGACAGTAGTGACAGTATGAATGTAGTGTCCTATTTATGACACGACAACGAAGGATCGGTCGCGTCGCGTTATCAAAATAATTTCAAACCCAGTCAACTTGAGACGCTGACACACAAACTTAGAATATACTGCATGCACGGTTAGTCGCAGACAAAGGAGAAAAACACTGAGCAGTTGTCGTCAAGTAATCATACATAACTTCGTGTAGCGTCTTCCTGGAGAGAATTTCAGTAAAATCGAGGCACCAGGAGAAGAATATCGGTATAAACACAACGTCAACCATGCCGGAGTCGAAATCGCTGACGACTTTGGACAGGCGACAACGAATACTGCTAGCTGCAGTTTGTGGATTGGTGTTTGCGGAGAGTTTAGTGCTGACTATTGTAGCGCCCCTCCTGCCTATCACTGTAAGTAGTATCTGGTAAATTAAAAAATATGATATCTCTTTCTCTCTCTCTCTCTCTCTCTCTCTCTCTGTGTGTGTGTGTGTGTGTGTGTTTCTCTCTCTCTCTCTCTGTATTTCTGTGTGTATCTCTCTCTCTCTCTCTCTCTCTCTCTCTCTCTCTGTGTGTGTGTGTGTGTGTGTGTGTGTGTGTGTGTGTGTGAGTGAGTGAGTGAGTGACTTCTTTAATGATCACAGTGACTAGAGAGCTGCTACTAGTACAGGGATATTAATTAAGGAGACGAAAAAAAGATTGTTCTATCCAAATTCCCACCCTAAAATACGACGCAGCAGGTAGCCAGCTAGGATTTATGGTCCATTTCCCATACTAAACACGGGTGGGAATCGTCCCATTTAGGCCAACTTATGACCCACAAGGCAATTGTTTCATGGTCCTTGCTTATAATGTCCTCAAAACTGCGGCTAACCTCAACCTGTACTTGTATTATATGGGAACCCGATATTCCATACTTGTACAAATAGCTTATATAGGCACGGAGTGCAGACATATACGTACGCTCTGTGTCACACCTTCTTACGTTCAATTGTCTATCTTCACACCCACACCCACCCACCCACACACAAATACACACCCACACACACACACGTGCGCGCACGCACACACGCACACATCTGCCCCCACTCCTCCTTCAAAAATTCCCTCTGGGATCGTGTTGGAGGAGCTGTTCCATTAAATATTTGCTGGTTTGATATTTGTATAACACGCTTCTTTTTCATCACTTTTACCATCATTGTTGATTTATTCCCCTATTGTAGAACACTTCAATATAAAGCATATAAAATAATGGGTCGAGGCAGAATAATGCAAATATTATATAAAAAACACATGTGAACGTCGCTGCTGGCGCGACTCAAATGTTCGTTTTTATGTGTTTTTGACCCAGTTGTTAAGAATATAGAAGTTAGCACTCAAACTTATATTTGCGTTTCGGCAAACCTCTGATGTGTCTGTGGGTGCAGCGAACGTGTATCCTCCAGAAGTGGGTCATTCCACAACAACAACAACAACAAAGATGAACATTTAATTGGGTCAAGTCAGTGACGCACGTATATTTTGTGTAATTTTTTTTGTATAATTCTTGCAAGCCCAGAACTAGACGTACATGTATATTACAAAAATAAATTTAAAAAAAAACTCATTTAATTCTGTAACTTACATGTACAACAGTATACTAGACCAGCCCTTGTCTCTGCTTTTTACTATAGTATTTTCAATATAATCCAAAAGTCGCCAATAATTAAAGAGTGATATAAACAGATATGTTCACTTTTTTATGGAATACCCCAACTCTATACAAGTAAGCCTATATGTACTAGTATTTCTACACGAGTGCGTAACGTGTACAAAAGAATCACTCTTGCCTATCTATCTCTATCTGGACACTACTAATATATGTATCGAGGTCCGTTAAATACAGCTCCATCAAGTAATTGCGACTTTCAACGCCACATGGACATTAAATGGTCCTAGCTGCTATCAGAAATATCTGGGTGAGATACCTGGATCTATAGGTAAATAATGCAATGGATATATAAGCATAGTTAGGTAACACTCAGTTGAGCACTGGATAACTTCAGTGGCACTGCGAGGTATTTATACATGTATATTTTATAAAGGTATTCTACATACCTAAATCATTATCATCTCTCTCTCTCTCTCTCTCTCTCTCTCTCTCTCTCTCCTGTAGTCCAGTGTGTGCATGTGTGAGTGTGTGTGTGTGTTTGTGTGTGTGAGAGAGAGAGGGAGAGAGAGAGATCATTTCAATCTACCGTCTTTTTTTAATAAAATACATAGAGAAAATATTAAAGTAGCAAATTTGTTGATCATAGATTCTGAACGAATTCCATTTGAAACAAGTATTTCCCTGCTCAAGATTTCAATCTCTCGTAGGCTTTTAGCGGATCTATCATCTGTGCTATGGAAGTTTTAAGGTGCAATCCCAATGAAACTGTCGTTCCACGTGGTCCAGTCAAACTCCTAGGGGACTCACGCTGAATGCAGTCAGGTTAACAGATGAACACGCCTCCCCCTGGCGTTAAGTAGAATACAGAATATCTGGTTATTATACGAGTACTTTGGAAACAAGAAGAGGCGTGTTTATCTGTTAAACTGATTGCAATCTGCGAGAGTTTTTGGCAGATATAGATTCTTCCACGTAGAACGATCCTTTCATAGGGAATGATCCCTTAGATTTTAAGACTTTTTAAAGGGTCGATTAAACGATCAGCACTGCAACACATTTTATTTTCTTCAATTATTTCAGGCCAGAGAAAAAGGTGTGTCAAATTTTGAGGTCGGGATATTATTTGGGGTAGCATGGCTGGCTTCCGCTTTGTCTGGAATAGTCCATGGAAAACTGGTAAGTTGTTTGTGATTTTAGAATATTAGAACGTATAACTTGCATAAGCTGAAATTATGATAACTGTTTTCTTAATGCGCATGGTCAAACGTACCTGGTCATCAATAATGCACACTTTCCTGTCCTTTTTTAATCTATATTTATTAATTTTATTCTTTGTTATTATTTTTGAACTGTGACTTGCAATCACTTTCTAGAAGTTATAATAAATAACAAAAAAAAAAAAAAAAAAAAAAAAAAAACAGATCTAGAATATTTCAAGCTACCCAGCTGTTTGTTTTTATTCATTCATGTGGATACCTCCACACGTTTATAAATATGTTGCGACCAAGCCTTCTTTATTTCCCTTTTTTCAATTCTTTTTGTCAGCTATCCCGGATAACACCTAAATCGATGTCGATTGCGGGATGTGTCGTTACAGCGCTGGCAGCCGTTGGAATAGGGTAAGTACGATGACGATACGCTATTACCGGTGTGACAGGAATGGTGGGCCTAGGAATGAAAGTCCGGGGTCCCATATGATTAGTACAGATTAGGGTTAGTTGAAGTATTGGGGTTAGTATATGGGTCGAATGTCACCTGTACAAAGTAATGGGGGTAGTAAGTATACGGTCCCTACCGGACAACCATATCTGTCACACCGGTCCAGGATGATCCGTTTTCAATCAGTTTGACGCCAATTCCATATTCTCTATAAACGGTGTGAGATAATCCGGTTTCAATTATAGCGATTGACCCCGGCTTTTACATCAATTTGAAATTAGAAAGGGGGAAATGAACATATATGAATTATATGGTCATCCCAATATGTCTTTTCCCCCTAGCGGTGCACGCATATTACTTATTTTTTAGTGATGGCAATATTTTACTTTCTAGATCTCTGCGTGTTAAGCAATAACGCTAAGTATTGTGTCCCTGAAATATAATATAATATAATATAATATAATATAATATAATATAATATAATATAATATAATATAATATACCAGGCTGGCAGGGGAGTTTTCACGTGGCCGCGTGGAATTCCTACCCTCTCTCCTCGTCCTGAGGATAATCCAAGGTAGCGGTTTCTCCGCCATAGCTGTGGCTGTGCAGGCCATCCTGTCTGCTGAGATGCCGGAGCATGGTCTTGGGGTGCAGGTAGGGTTGTCTCCTTGATTTGATTTGGTTTGCCTTGTTGTAGAGTGGCTTTGCTGCATTTTTATTGAAGTCTATTTGTTGTTGTTGTTGTTTTTGTTGTAAAAACTGTTGTCGTTTAATTTCTATATAATGTTTATTTTTAAACTGTTTGTCTTGTACATAAATATTTCTCCTAGATTATTTAGTAATTTTATAACTTACTTATTTGATTAAATGTCAGTAGATGACTGTGGTTTCAATGCTTTTTGTTATTAATTAGTTAACTTGCTTGTATTACAGGCCGCATATCAGGGAAGCGTGGCCTTGGGGTTTACACTGTCCCCACCCATAGCTGGAGGGCTGTACGCAGTGAGTCTAGATCTCTGTCTCCTCCTCCTCCTTTCTCCTTGGACCCCCCCTCCACCCCCCTCTCTACCCCCCTCTCTCTCCCATCCTTCTTGTCATTTCTTGCTTGCATTATTCAAATCTCACACTTATCTCATAAACATCTCATACATGCATCCCTTTCGTGACAAATACCATAAGGACTTCATATTCAAGCAAGCATACACATAATGCACTGTTATTTGAATAGGCTTATTTTTTTACAGATGAACTACTTATGTTCCAGGCTAATGGTTTCTGGCTGCCGTTCATTGTGATGTCTGTGATACTTGTCATTATCCTTATCATTGCTGTGATTCCTTTACGACATTTAAAAGGTACGTTATTTGACAGGCGCTTGTCTGCAGCTGTCATATCAGATATGATAATATTGCGTTTCTGTTGAATTTATGTACATATGTCCTAAAAAATTTTAAAATCTGATTATCGATATGCCTAATAATATAATTTTGCAATGGGGTGGAAATGATGCGAAGCAGTAACGTTGAGGGACGTAAAGAAATGAGGCCACTTTTTGCCTGGTTGAGTCGCTAAAACGCCTGTCATTTCTTGTTATTTAGGTCAAGTTGTGCAGCACAAGTCTGGGCAGTACTTTCCTCTTCTTCTGCAGCCGAGAGCCCTATTAACAGGCAAGTTGACACAACTGTGTTCTTAAAGATTAAAAAAAAATTAGCACCATTTATGTACCATATTCAAGCAAGTAGGCAAGTTAAAAGTATAGGTAATAACAGGGACCTTATTACACTCTAGCACACAATGGAGATATATTAATCAAACCCTGTCGTTCACATTTCAGTTGCACATTCGTTGGTCATCGCTGCCGTGTTCAGGTTCTTCGAAGGTTTTATTCCAGTGCATATGCATGAACAGGTGTGAATTATGTACAATTTCTCCCTTGATTTTCAATTTTAGAATCACTCCAGATTAATTGAAGAATTCTTCCTTATTAACCTTTGCAAAACTGTGCCTATAAAGATTACTCATTCATTAAGTAGGTAAATGGTAGCTTAGCGTGTGCAACGTGCCTCAATACACTGATCATCAAAGATAGCATAACGAGCTTTCAAAGGAAATTGACCAAATAAGTACCCTATAGAACAACAAAAATCTCGATTTAAATTTGAAACTTCTATGGTGTCCTCATAAAAACGAGCTTTCCTTGAAGACAGTTAGTTTATTTCTGGTTAAGGTTATACAGCGTAAAATGCCACCATTGTATCGTTGACGGTTCATCTCTGTCACAATCTCGTTCACAGTACACGTGGACTCAGTCATTGATCTCCTTGGTCTCGTGATTAAACTAGTTTTAGCGCCATCTATCCTTTCCTTTCCAGTTTGGTTGGGGCCCGGCAGAAGTAGCCTGGTTATTTACTGTCTGCGCTGTAGTTTTCCTCATCTTTTTGCCCATTTGGGTAAAACTGAATTCAGCTATAATGGTAAGATACTTGTATCGAGTAATGATACTACTGTTTAATTCCTTAGACTTCCAATTAGACGTCTAATAAAATACAATATTTTGAAATTCACTCGCCAAGATAAGACGTTATTCCAATTACGTAAACGTGAATGGTTTTGGGCATATTTTTTCGTAATGTTATGTTTCTGTTTTCAGGGCAATGTTGCAGTGATGAGCTGGTGTATGTACATGTCGGGATTTTCACTCATTCTCCTTGCACCTGCACCCTTCATACCTGTAGAATAGTACGTATCTGTCGTTACGTTTACTATTAGAGAGAAAGAGAATAGAAAGAGAACCTGTGTAAAAGAAAGAGAGGGTGTGTAAAAGAAAGAGAGAGGGGGAGAGATATAGAGAGAGGGGAAGGGAGAGACGGAGAGGAGAGGAAAAGAGAGGGTGAAATAAAATTTCGAAGGCAAAAAGCCAGTGGAGAAGCCAAAAAGGGCATTGCAAAACAATCTACATTAAATTAAAATTTGCCAAACATCAGTTCTAATAGAAATTACAGCCAATGAAATATTCACAATTCGTTTCAGTCCATGGTGGATCACCTCCCTGGTTTGTTTGGTTTACATCATCAGTTATACGGGTGCCATAGTAACCAATGTCCCGGATCTTAATTTTATTGCAGGGTAGGTAAATCCGGGAAATGAAACCAATAAGCGCCAAAGGTTAAAATTGGAAATTTAAAGGACACGCTTGTTATTAATTGTAATTGAAATATTAAATGAAGTAATAAATGCTTGAAATTTCTATGGGACAAAGTGAATGGGTGAAAACACTTACAAGTAAGAAAAAACAAAATTGGTGGCGCCTAAGTCACATTCCCAAGTCAACTTTCATAGCCTAGATATGTAATTGTTCTTACCTATATCTATATACTGTGCTGCTGCCTGCACTTACGGTTTACATTGTATTGTAGAAAAACGGGTTATCCAGACAACTACGGCACTTACGGTATTGTCTCGGCCTCAGTGAATGGAGCGCTGACGTCAGGGTAAGTACACGGTAAAATTGTCACATATTCTATTTTATACGATATAATTGATTAAAGTGTAATCAATTTTTGCGAGTCGTTTCGTAATAAATAGTACCAAGTGATATAATGTTTATACATTGGACAGAAAAAAAAAAACCCTCTGGACATGCTCATGTATGTAACCTTGTTTGATGATTTCGCATTGCAGTTTCTTTTCCGGGCCATTCATAGGTGGCGCTTTAACTGATCATATTGGCTTTGCCTGGACAACCGTCGTGTTTGGATTGATACAGTGTGTGTTTGTAAGTATCAGACTCTCTCTCTCTCTCTCTCTCTCTCTCTCTCTCTTAGTGTGGGTGTTTTGGCAAATTTCATAAAACTTGTTATAAATTACCCATTTTCTCCACCTCTCACTCTCTCTCTCTCTCTCTCTCTCTCTCTCTCTGGATGATCTATCTTCTCCTCTATCTTACTTTCTCACACGAATATATCCAAGCCCACACAAACACATTTCTTATTTTGCGAGTGCGTTTGGAGTGGGTAAGTTTATTTAAAAAAAATACACGCACACTGCCTGTTGTTTTTGCTGTCACAATGCTGTTCACTAAAGTATTTTTTTCTGCACATTTACAACTTTTTTTTATCAAAGTATCTCTAAGGCTTCTGCTTATACCTGAATTAATATTAAATTTCAGGGACTACTTCTTATAGCTCGACTAATAGTGGATAGAGTACTTGGTCATAAAGATGGCACCGTGGGATTAACCAGACAAATTTCTAGGCAATTATCAAAAGCCGGAGTGGAATCGGTAGTGGAAAGTTCGGAAATGGTATATTTAGAACATAATGATCATACCCAGTACAACACGGGGACTTCTGATGACAAGGGAATTGAAAACAAGGCGTTTGATGGGTCGTCTGATGTGAAAAGTCCGATATCATGTGACCCGGGGAAACTAACTAATAATGTACCGGGGTCTACGACATGTGACATTCCTGAGTCACATGTGGAAACCGAAAATTCAGGCTCTGCTACAACAGAATCGACAGCAGAGACATCGAGTGACAGTGGAGTAGACGATACCGAGCATCAAAGTAAAGCTCCCGTGAAACAAACTGCAGACGGCACAAAACCAAACTGAATTTAAGTGAAAGGTGTAATGTCTTAACATATTAGTTCCTTTTTTTTAAATTTTGACATGTAAATACGTTTTCTTTTGTTTGTGTCTTTGCAGACTATGAGCTGCGTTTACAAGTTCTTGTTTTAAATGTTAATAATAATAATAATATTTATTTCTTAAAACCGCACTACACTAGTACCGTCTCAGTGCTGTTTACAGATAAAATTATCATGATTACAACTAATTATATAGATAATAAAAGCTAAGGTAAAAAATTAAAATAATTAAAGCTGGTTAAAATAGTAATGGTCTGAACAATAAAACTTTTTTTCTGATAAAATGAGAAAATATTAATTAAAATACTGTTCATATAAGAATGTTTTTAAGTCTTTTTTAAAAACCTCAACACTATCAATAGTCCGAATGTGTGAGGGTTGTTGATTCCATAAATTGGGTGATGAAATTGAAAATGCCCTGTGGCCGTAGGTTTTGGTTATTTTTTTTATTATCATTTCTGATAAAACAAAGAGTAGAGGTGGATCTGGTAGACCTGGTGAGACTGGGTGTACTTGGATGTAGCATCGAGTTGAAATATGAGGGTTCCCTGTGTAGCAGGTGTACAAGTTTCTGTTTACAGAGAATTTATGTCTATGACAGCTTTTATTAGATATTTATTGATCATTTTGAATGAAGACACTTCCTAAATGGTACTTAAGTGGTACTTAAAAATATTTCATGGAGTATTAAAATTTAGATCATTTGTGTGAAGTGTATGTGAGAAGGGGTGCATGCTACAAAGACGTAGATTCTCATCAAAAATGTGTGTGTGTGTCTTAACATTATATTTACTTTTCTGTGTACGTTGTGCTGTGTGTGCTGTTATTTTACCATAAATTATGCGAAATGATAAAAAAATTATGCGACACTGTGACATTGGCAAGAGCCGTCGATATTGTAATGTTGCAATTGAATATGGCCAGTGAGTAGGAAGATATGTGATATATTCTACGCAGATTATTTTTATTACTTATATCTTAAGGAATTTTATATGTATTAAAGCAATTTTGTTAAAATCGGCAGAATAAAAAAAATTGAGGTTTTATAAGTGCTGTGAGTGTGGTTATATAACATGAAATATAACATGCCAACTGGAACAACAACTGTGTTGGAATGATACAAAGGCAAAATGTACTTTATTAACACTGCTAGAAGCGACTTCTTGATATAAACAAGTTACAGTAATGAAATATCAAAAAAAAAAAAAAAACAACTAAATTTACTAACAAAATGATGAGAATGTAAGAAACTACCATACGAGTAAACATCGATTTAATCTGGCGCGTTTAATACATATTATGATTATAATGATATATTACTTGTAGTGATTATAACGTAGGGTACGTAAATCTAGTTATGTAGATATGTAACTGATGATGTTGATGGTCGATATGACTGATTGATAGACTGATATCGTCGTCATATATATATATATATATATATATATATATATATATATATATATATAGAGAGAGAGAGAGAGAGAGAGAGAGAGAGAGAGAGAGAGAGAGACTCGGAGAGTTAACTGCTTCACATTAGTGCTGCTCAAAGATGCCGCCATATTGGACGAAACGAGGACTCTTAAGTCGGGCACGAGAGCGTCTAAAACCACGAAAACTGAGGCAACGGGTACACCGACTGTCGCCACCTATTGGATGCTAAATATACCCGGGCTATGAGGCACGGAAGTGACGATCTGGTATGTCCATAATTTTATAACAGGGAAGGCATTTCTTATTGGTCTCGTCACGCTATCCGTACTCTAAAAGAATTATATACATACATACAGGTTTACAGGTTGTCGAAGGCAGGGGAGAAACATTTTGGTCAGTTATCATTACACACCAAAGTGAAACTTTGAGTGGCGTCTAACTGCGGTATATTAAGGCAAATCCATAAGGCATTTGAAGAAGAATATCAGTGTCAATAACGTCAGTTATGCCGGAGTCGAAATCGTTGACGACCTTGGACAGTCGACAACGAATACTGCTAGCCGCAGTTTGTGGATTGGTGTTTGCTGAGAGCTTAGTGCTGACTATTGTAATACCGCTTTTACCCATCACTGTAAGTAGTCCCTGGTAAAAATTTACTCTTAAAGATGTGTATGTGTGCCTTTTCTTTAATGATGACAAAAGTTAGAAAGATGACAAAAGAGGGGAAGGGAGGAAGGACGGAGGGGAGAACTACATGTAGACGACGAAATTATATTGTTCTCACATACTCAAACATTGCATAGGTGAATTGCAGCGATGTAAAACACTTCTGTTTTCTTTGTATGTGTAACACATACTCTCTACAACTACAGGTATTTGGCCAAAATATTTGAAAATAGGTGCTTAACATTTACCAAGGAACCATTTTGGCTTCTGGCTGTTATCTACACACTACTAAAATCAGGTTTACTTGAATGAGAGTCCACTGCGTAATTATGGCTCCCATGCTGCAGTGACTTTTCATTATTACCCGCTTTCAGACATATCTGAACGAACAATGGATATAAGCCTGTTTGTAACACTGTGAGTTGGCCATTGCGCCTTGCACCTTGCAATTAGCGTCCCTGCTTGAAAGGACTCCTCTATCTCTACGAACTCCACGGATTCTACTGCACGCAAAATTCGCAGGGGACGTACGAACCTAAAATTCGTGCGTCCAGTTGTGACCGAGGCTTAATATCATCGGAGGTAGCGTGAGGTATTCACACATGTACTTATGTAGTCGAAGACAAAGGAGACCATTTTGGACAGTTATCGTCACATACCAAAGTGAAACTTAGCGTGGCGTCTACCTGCGGTATATTCAGGCAATTAGATCCATAATATAAGGCATTTGAAGAATAATATCAGTGTCAATACAACGTCAGCTATGCCGGAGTCGAAATCGCTGACGACTTTGGACAGGCGACAACGAATACTGCTAGCCGCAGTTTGTGGATTGGAGTTTGCGGAGAGCTTAGTGCTGACTATTGTAATACCGCTTTTACCCATCACTGTAAGTAGTCCCTGGTAAAAAAAAAAAAAAAAAAAAAAAATGGTGAAAGATGTATGTGTGTGTGTGTGTGTGCGTGCTCGCGTGTGTGTGCTTTTCTTTAATGATCACAGAAGTTAGAAAGATGACGAAAGAGGGGAAGAAAGGAAGGACGGAGGGGAGAAGGAGACGACGATAACATTTTGTCCCCAAATACTCAAACATTGCCTGGTTTCTTTGTATTTGTAACCCAGTTGTATTTACAACTACTGGTGTGTGCGCTAAAATATTTCAAAATAGGTGCTTAACATTTACCAAGGAACCATTTTGCTTTCTCGTTCTTATCTGCACACTACTATAATTAGGCTTACTTAAAGCATGGACAATATTACGTTATTATGTCCAAGCTTGAATGAGAGACCACTGCGTAATTATGGCTCCCATGCTGCAGTGACTTTTCATTATTACCCGCTTTCAGAAATATCTGAACGAACAATGGATATTAGCCCTTTTGTAACACTGTGAGTTGGCCATTGAATCGCCAACTCGGAGTGTTACTGAATATCATCAGTGGTAGCGCGAGGTATTCCCACATAATTACTAAATTACATAGTCCATGTTCACCGGCAAACCACCAGCCCTCACTCTATAATGGACATATATAAAGTTTCTCACTCCACCCTATATTGCAAACTGTCGAAGCTATAAACGACCACGTTATGGCAAACTATGCGTGTGTCCTTCGTTGCATCTCCTAGTATATTCCTATTCATTTGTACAGGTAAGCTTCGCCCTAGATTTTGTACCCACTAAGGTAAGGTTTACCCTAACCATTATAAGTAAATGGAGGGTGGACTTTCTGTTACACGGTTTCTCAGTTTCGTTTACCGGCTACATGGAACGTTCAAGCACTTACGTGCGCCAGTTCTACCACGTGCGTGACGTCACATAAAGCTCTGAGAATTTTGAACACAAGGTGGCATGATGAAGTCTTGCATGCTTAGAGTGTAAGGCAGAAATATGAGTCAAAGCTCTGAGCATTTGAGGGAACTGTAATACATAGTACCAAGTGAACAATTCTTAAAGAGCTCTGGTGTTTGAGTTTTGCAATTTTTTTCTTTAATGAGAATGCGTGTGCCACTCAGTCTTCTTATTTATCTACATTGAATTTCAGGCCAAAGAAAAAGGTGTGTCAAATTTTGAGGTTGGGATATTATTTGGGGTGGCATGGCTGGCTGCCGCTTTGTCTGGTGTAGTCCATGGAAAACTGGTAAGATAAATGTCATTTTAGAATAATCGTTTATAACTGGCGTAAACTGAAATTTAAATTATTTATACAGCTGGTTTGCGATGATGTACCCCTTCATCGCCTCTTTTTACATATTTTAATTTCATTTATTTATTTTTATGAATGCAGTTTTCCTCCACATTCATGAAGTCGTGAATAATAATAATAATGATAATAATAATAATAGTAATAATAATAATAATAATGATAATAGCAAAAACTTAAAGCAAAACACCACCTACAATTTTTCAAACCACCTGATTCTTTTTTGATTCTGAGTTCTAATGAGACCACCATGATTATAAATTAATTAATTTCATTCTCTTTTTTATATTTCAATACTTGTTTCTATCATTTTTGTCAGCTGTCACGAATCACACCTATATCTCTGGCGATTGCTGGATGTGTCATTACGGCGATAGCAACCGTTGGAATAGGGTAAGTACGATTACGTTATGTACTCTATAACCGGTCAGAAATATCCTGTTTTTTTTTATTTTTTTTATTTTTTTTTTTTTTTTAATCATAAAAAATGAGAAAAGTAATGAGAAAACTAATACAAATAGTTATTGTTAAATGAACTAATTTCTCATCTATTGAACAAAATCTTGTTAACTGAGTGCATGGCTTTACTCTTTTAATGTATCATCAGTTCGTCATTCAATCTGGGAGCAGACGACACGTTTGTTTTGGTTAGTGCTTAAACGAGGCCGAATATGATACGGGTGCATATCTATAGCGATTGATATTCCCAAAGAGGAGACATTGTGGAAATAAACCATGATGGCATTTTTAACCAATGAAATAAGAAGACTTTTTATTATTCAATGATAATTATTAACGATATATATATATATATATATATATATATATATATATATATATATATATATATATTGCTCAAAGCTTTCTTTCCTTTCTCTTGACGGTTCAATAGACATTTGAAAGTGATAACAAGATACTGAATTTTAGATCTGCACTTTTGTAAATAACATTAAGCATAATATAATATAATATAATATAATATAATATAATATAATATAATATAATATAATATAATATAATATAATATAACAGGCTGGCAGGGCAGTTTTCACGTGACCTCGTGGAGTTCCTACCCTCTGTCATTGTCCTGAGGATACTGCAGGGGTGTGGCTACTCCGCCATAGCTGTGTCAGCCCAGGCCATCCTCTCTGCTGAAATGCCGGAACACAAGCTCGGGGTCCAGGTAGGGTTGTTTTCTTGATTTGTATTAATTTCACTGTGTTGTTGTAAAATAGTTTCGTTAAACGTTTAGCTGATGCATATTTAAGTTAATCATCCTATTATTATTATTATAATAATTTTTGTTATTTTTCTTTATTTAAAGTCATTACTTTCGATGATAGTTTGATCGTCCTTTGGTAGATGGGGTTATCAATGCAAAATGTTAATTGCCATTATTAACTAGAAGTTGTCCTTATTACAGGCCGCCTATCAGGGTAGCGTGGCCCTGGGGTTTACACTGTCCCCACCCATAGCTGGAGGGCTGTACGCAGTAAGTCTGTACCTCTCTCTCCTTCTCTCTCTCTCCTTCTCTCTCTCTCTCTCTCTCTCTCTAGAGGGCATGTATTTTTTTCGTCTAATCTTTCCTCTTTCTACTTCGTATTTTCTAATATGTATCAAAGGTCAAATCCAAGAACAGAATGGGATAGATAAATGGTTCGGTAGCACGAGAAAATTGCTTATTTTCTCAGGAAAATACATTTTTTTCGGGTTAATCTTATGGAGTGCGTCTTTAACAAACCCTCTATCAGGGTCGTCACGATTTTTTTACTATATATATATATACAGGTGTCTCTGGCTAATTCATCACGTGTTTCGCGCTGAAGAAAAATGCACATGATTAGTCTGCGTCCCTGAACACCCCATATACAAGCAAGAATGCGCGCTTAATGGATGGTCAATTTAATATATGCTGCTAAGACTTGACAGAATGTCTTCTTTACGTTACAGGCTAATGGTTTCTGGCTGCCGTTCATTGTGATGTCTGTGATACTTCTCATTATCCTTATCATTGTCGCTATACCATTACGACATTTAAAAGGTATGTTTTACGACAGCCCATTGCCAGCTGGCTGCCACGTCAAAAAAAAAAAAAAAAAGAATCCACCCGTAATAATTTTTTTAAAATTTACGTGCATAAATATGAAATCAAAAAACGGAATATAGATAATAATTCATGAATTAACTGGAAAATACACAAATTAAAAAAATATTGGCCATAATTATATCTTTGTATACTTTTTTTCGTTTTTTGAATGATATCGTTAAAATATTTACCCCTTTTTCAATTCCATTTTCTCCACATTAACGTTTTACAGTTTATTATGTAATATTTGCTGGCTTAATTATGATGGGAAGATTTCCGTATCTTTGAAAAAAAAAAGTGAAAATGTGAGTTGATTTTATTGGTTGATGACCTTATTTCAAGTCCGTTCCACATCGTTACCTCCACTACGTTGCTCTCCTGCATACTCAATTCCCATTAAATTGTGAAAATACCCTCTTAGAGCCCATTTCCAGAGATTAGATCGATCTACTTTAGATCGACCTAACTCCCTGGGGGTTCACGCTAAATAGCTGTCAGCCGAGAGGACACAAAAGTTAATTACCCCCTTACAGCGGGACGGACATTTAAGTCGGATTATCTGACAGTAATCTAGTGAGACTCCCCGCGGGGATAGATCGATCTAAAATCTCTGGGAATACAGCGTTAGATTATCCCTCCTCCTGCCCCCACATCGTACGTCCCCATCATCGGGTTTTGAATGACGAATAAAGAATTACTCTCGGGTCTTTGTATTTAACAGTATATTTTAGAAATGAAATTATGCCATTCTTTACTGGATGAGGGAAGAATGGTAGGTTATTGTTAAAATATATTGAAACTGAAGACTGTTAGATTATTGATACATTAAATGATATAGAACTGAGTATATCCTAGTAGTTCTTCAGTAAACAGTTATCAGTATTGTTGTTATTATTGACAGTGTAGGAATTAAGAATTATTTGTATGTCACATTTTAACCGTCAATAAAACACCTGACATTTCTTGTCATCTAGGTCAAGTTGTACAGCACAAATCTGGGCAGTACTTCCCTCTTCTTCTGCAGCCGAGAGCTATATTGACAGGTGAGTCAGTACGCCATGTATTTTTATTTGGTCTTATATATATATTAAATATAACCATAATAAATACGGTGCGTTGTTTCGGCTCATGCGTCATATTCAGACCTGTTTTCTCTGTAGCACACAATAAACGTCTGTTAATCATACCCTGCCGTTCCCATTTCAGTCGCACATTCTTTGGTCATCGCTTTCGTGTTCAGGTTCTTCGAAGGCTTCATTCCAGTGCATATGCATGAACAGGTGTGGTTAATATACAACATGTCACATGATAAATATTTCCGGATTCTCTCCAGTTTAATGAAATAATTCTTATTAAAATTACTTATGTGTTTAATTTTGTTAACTTGTGTTTAAAAAGATCGACATCCATTATGGATCGATCTTGTAGTAACAAGCGAATGTTTCAGCACTTAAATATTACATTTATTACAGTAAAATATTGTGCGATGTGATATATGGGCTTTAAGTGCACATTAAGCGTTGTAACAAGAAAGTTTTTTTTTTTTTTTTTTTTTTTTTTTTTTTTTTTTTTTTTTTTTTTTTTTTTTAAAAAAATTTTAAAGAAACCCCCACCGAAATTTTTTAAAAATTTTTTTTAATTTTC